CCCCTCTGCCTGTAATTTGTAAAAAACTAAAATATTTTTGAGTAAAAATTTCCTTGACTTTATCACCTCTCATTTAAAGGCAACATACTCGTTCCCCTAAAGTTTGAGTGTTTTCCTCTCAAGAAATTTTTAGTTATTTGCAAATTATAGCTAAATAACTAAAAATTATAGGCTAGGAGATGGCTAAATAACTAAATAACTAAAGTTTGAGTGTTTTCCTCTCAAGAAATTTTTAGTTATTTGCAAATTATAGGCTAGGAGATGGCGAGAAAAGGCGGAGAGGCGACTTTCTTCAACAAGGCGAAGAAGACAGGTGATTATTCCAGATTTATATCTAATCAGGTACTTCATTCTTCACAACGTGGTTTGCTTGGTTCTTCTCCGCGCCGTCATGTTTCTCATGATGTCTCCAAGGGATATGTGATCTCAAAAAATTTTAAATATTCTCCTCCTTCCCTTCCCCATGCACCTTCTCCCGCCCCTATGCATCAGCCATCTAATCATTTCTTCCCCCGTCCATTTAACTCTCTCTTCGATAATCTGCAACCTAATTTAATTAACCATGGGGATCCCCCCACTTTTTCTTCATTTGGTTCTGTGCAAAAGAAATTGGGGCATCCTAAACCTCTTGATATTTTTGATCAAAGGCTGGACGGTGGTTAGCAGAAAAAAGAATTTGAAGAAGATGGACAGTAAGTATCTTAAATATCCTCTTCCATCTGATTATATTGATCCTAAGCAGCCTAAACGATGCTTCAATTGTGGGGATGATCGTCATTCGGTGAAATTTTGCCCTAAAGGTGCTTTTATTTGTTTTAAATGTTATGAAGAAGGGCACATTGCTAAATTTTGCAGAAATCATATGCGTCCTCTAGAGAAAAAGATAGACTTGTCTGATTCAGAAACTCTGTGCAACAATTCTAAGGTTCTGGCTGCTTTTGCTGTTCTCACTATCACTGAAGGCACTCCTTCTCTAGATTTGATTAAAACCAAATTATCCAGGTTATTCAAATGGAAATCTTAGAGGGGAAAAGTCATTCCTATACAGGATAAGCATTACTTGGTTGAATTTCTATCTTCTTTTCAGATGTCGGAAGCTATTGATGATAATATCTTGAACTTTGAGTGCTTTAAGGGTTGGTTTGCTCCATGGACAGAAAACTTGGGTATGAAAATTGTCAATTCTGCCTTCTTTCAATGGATCAAGATCAAAAATCTACCCTTTAAATTCTGGTCCTTGGATATTATTGAGAAAATCATTAGCTCTTTTGGTGTAATGGTAAGGGGTTGCAAGAACATCAGAGACAAGGTTAATGGTCATGATGTCAGAATTCTGGTCCAAGTTAAATCTGCTGAATGTATTCCAAAAAATATTGTTTGTTCCTACACCTCTAAGATTGATTCTTTTACTAGAGAAGTTACTTTAGAGATTCAACCTGTTGGTGTTGGGCAAATTGGATCGGATGTTATTGGCATTCATCTTAATGCTATGAAAATGCAAGGAGAAGTGATCTTGGATTCTCAATGGCTGGATCAAATCACTCCAGAAGATATATCTCCAGCAGTTCAAAGATCTCCGGAGAAAGCACAAATTGTTGCTAAATCTGATAAGGGCAAAGAAGTAATTGTTGATGATTCTATTGCGGAGGAAATCAAGGAAGATAATACGATACAGCTTTCAAAAGAAATTCAAAATCCGCCTATTTTGGAAACAAATTTTCAGGCGGATTCTCAGGCTAATTCTTCTAATGGCAGTTCTGATTCTCTTGCCAAGTCTCTCCGTGATTTTCCAGTTGATTTAGTCAAACATACTTGGAATGGTCAGACAGTATATTTGGAAAAAGCAACGTGGAATAATTTTTTTGGCGGGACAAATGATGTCAGTAATTCAAATTCTTCATCCTCTTCTCTCCCGCCA